CCCCAAAACCCCAAAACCCCATCAATATGATGTAAGTTAATTAAGCTAGTAAAAAATTAAATCTTCTTAAATAAGATATGTATTTGTAATTTATACCAAAACTTAATTCAAAACCTATATCGTCAATTCTTTTTGTTAAAACCCTGATACTAAGAACCATTGTTAATTTAAGTCAGTGTGTGTTTCAGCATTGAGTTCTTGCGAGAGAACATCATCGTATTGTTGAAGTTAAAACTGGACATCTTAGAATCTCTGATATAATTTTGATTAATCCCATCCTCTTCAATCAACATAAATATGTCTTTGTTTATTTCGATCTTGTGTATAGTGTTTAAAATGTTTTTACTTTTTTGTTTGAGATGAAGATTTGACATAGAGACAAGCAAAAGGCTATCATGCTTGAATGTGAAAGACTTAGTTGTTTATGAGTGTAGATCTTCTACTGATGATGCTGGAGTCAGAGTTAGTTTTCCTCTTTAGAATGTATTAAGGGTGTTTAGCAACTTATCAGGCTATGCTATCAAATGAAGAGCACCTCCTAAGAACGATTAATAAGTACCAAGATTAAGTATTTAGCGTGAACTCAATGATTTTGTATTTATAATGATCAAAGCATTGTTCGTCCTTGATAATATATAAGGATTCGTAAATGGATTGTAATCAGGAATTATCAAGAACTCATTAGTATGCTCATTGAGATTTTTGATTACTCTATGTCTGACTGTTTTATTATTTCTATCAATTAAACTCAGGTTACTCTGCCCTCCTATTTTTACTAAAAATACATCCGAATCTATTTCAACACCTGCTAATATTGAACCATGAATGACCTTTTCTTTCTGAAAAACTGTATTAAATCTCCCATCTTAGAATTCAATAATTGATAAAAACTGTATGCCATCACTGTGTGTGTAAATAGCGTATTCATTACGCCTTGATGTTTTCTATATATCATATATAGTGTCTGATGCTACAGTAATTTTATATACAATCTATAATGTTCTTAACTCGATCATAACTAATTGCCCATCATTAGATATTCCAATCATATGCTTGTTATTTCCATATTACTATAACTTCATAATTTCAACTTCCATTTGTCTTTTTAATATAAGTTGAAAGGTCTTATTTTCAACCACGACAAGTGTATTCTAGAATACTAGATAAACTCTATCATCCTATTCATGCGCATATTTCAAATCATTCTTTACTCCATAATTCATTATTTTAAACAATCTCAAGTTCCTCGTCTCAAGCGCATATACCTTATAATCATCTCTATTTTGGAATATCAGGTATTAGCTATTGCTTCCAACGACCTTAGTATAGTAAACGCTAGCATGTGTTTCCACTTGAAATTGTCTTCGTACGTCCACAAATTAGGTGATTTCCTCCTCTTTATGCTGACTCATCCCGTAAGCTTTATTCATTATATCTTCTGCTCTATATAAGTTTAGCTAATGCTCTTAGCAACTAATCATAATACTTTTAGTCTCTCTTTGTAAATAGGTTAATCCTTCAAGTATTTATGATAGTTTTTCATCAACTGGATCATAGGATGTAGTGTTTGTTTATTAATCTGGAGTAGTGAATTTCTTATCTATATCATGAGCTAATGTGCTTTTATCTGTAGTATTCTCATCTCCTTTAACATAAATGAGATTAGAATTAGCATCATAGTTAGAAGCATCAATAGGTTTACGCTTAGATGTTGAATTTTATTAGTGCTAGTTCTCATTTGATAATGATAAATTCAAATGCTTAACTGAACTAACAATTGCCTTTCGACTATCATTGTCCAAGTTTTTTGACTTTTAGTGCATATTTTTATTAATCCAGTAATATCTTTGAAACATATCTATTAATTTCTTAAAGTCTTAATCAGAACCAACTGTAGTCGTGGTATTAATAGTTTGAGGTTAATAAGTTGTCTGTCTATGATAGTGAATCGTTTGAGTAAGACTTAAATTATGTTTGGAATCCATAAGAATTTAAATTAAAATTTGTAATGTTTATTTATTGATAATTTAAAGAATAAGTTTAAAATTGGTTTGGGTTACTGAACTAAGTAAGTGCTTCAAAATATTTAAAGATAAATATCTCTCATCATCATTACCTGCTATCTCTCATTCAAGGGGTTTTGGGGTTTTGGGGTTTTGGGGTTTTACATCGTTTTATTTAGCTTTAACAGAATGTCCATGCATTTTAACTTAAAGCAA